TCAAGGGGTACGCAAATTTATAAGGTGTTCGGACATTTTCTAGAAACTCGTGCCTGCATGACTCCTTCAATTTTTTCGCTGTTCGGTGTGTTTCTACAAACAAGACTGACAATAAAATGCATCACCTTATAGAAGACGTATTCGGCGAGTGATGCTGCCAGCTGACTGACGTGAACTTTCAAGTAAAATCGTTGACTGAGCTTAAAGGGATTTTCCGCTAAAGTTTTGTCCCGAAGAAAACAATTAAATGTTTTTTCTTATTGTCCTTAGGAACATCTTCATTACAATATCCGGATATTCGATTGTTCATCTCCATCTCATCCTTCACCTGTGTAAATCTCTGATTTAGTACTGATTTTTTTACCATCAGCGGAGGTTTTCTTCTCGCAGTTTGACCAAGCCTAACTCCGACTGATGTCTCAGTGAAATAACTTCGTTCCAGGAAAAACACGATTTACAGTACTGAGGCGCGCTCGCTTCTTCGACGATGCTCTTTGCACGCACCACCGAGCATGCGGATCACGTAACAAGAATAAGCCAACGCCCGCATCCTTGGCGATGCCATGCATGATGTTACGTCACACAACGAGCAGCCATTGATACTGTCAAAATGCGGAGTGCAGTTTTATATTGATACTCATAATTGTTTTTTTTTTTATATGGAGGCTTCTTTTAATGAAATAAATATTACCTTTGACTATTTTTAGGCCCTCCCTAAGTGACCAGTACAACAACATAATAGCTTGGGTATTACCAAACGATCCCTTTAACACAGTTTTAACGAAACGAAAATCGACAAAAGTCTAATAACTCGCTTTTTTGCCATATTTTGTGACCTGCTATCATCCGTGTCTTCCTGTGGTTCCTGTTTGCCATGCGCTGTTTTATGGTGAATAACATATGCAGCGTGTACACTAATACCTCGATCCCAATTTTGACGGGCCGCATAAATCAGGTGCTGAACGTATCGCTCTTGGATTTACTACGGAAAGGTCTGAAGGTGGTGGAAGCTTTCACCAAAATTGTGGAAAGATTAGTTCATCTGAGTAAATCATGAAAAATCAAAAACCGTTTTCCCCATACTTTGCACGTACACTTATAGTATATTATTGTCTGTCACTGTAGGGCTCATTTGGGCCAAATGAAGTGAAGAATTGGTAAGCCAGTTCTAATCGCTTTCGATTTCACAATATTTTCAGTCGTAATAAACGCCACAGTAGCCCAGAACGATTTTGTGTATGACTTCGAGAAAAAAGGCTCACTAATAATTTTTCCATAGACATAACCAGTTTTTATTTTCTTCCTTTTGTCTCCGGAGACTGTACGTATCATACTCTCAATTAATAAATGCACTACCTTTCAGCACCTCTGTGGGAAATCCCAGCGCAATTCGTTGAGAAACCAATTTCTACGGAGCGTCCAAAGTGGGATCGAAGCTGTTGTATCCCGAAAGATGTTTTTGTAATCGCAATATAACATAGCATAAATGTAAAATAAAGTGTAATTAATACCTTCCAAGTAATGTTTTTTTTATTATTTTAGGAGGCTGTGAAATATTGCTGGAATCACTTTATTTTTGAATGAAGTAATTGTATTAGTAATCAGCTACATGTTTTCAATAACGTGTATAAGACAGCATGGTACATAACTTAGGTTAAAGTCGAGCTCATTCTGTGCCCATTTTTTCTTCTTTTTTTTTCTTTTTTTGCTGCCTGCGGCGAACATTAGTTTATTAAATAACAATAACGTCCTGCGAAAGGTACACACGCAACAAAAGAAACCCCACAAATGATACCACTACAAATATAGCGCGGTTCCACAAAACGCCTGTTCCCCTCCCGTGAGCCGTGTTCCGCCATGTTGATGAACAACGTTCACCACTTTCGCCATTTGTTAAAAGGCAGGCGCTTAGTTAATGGCGTCTTTTTTTGGTGTTGGTGAAACGCTGAAGCATGACGAGATGCTCCGTCAACAAGAAAACTCGGAGAAATAAATACGATGGGGAACGATTTCTTTCCTTTCAGGGTCGCCTCGGCAGAATCTCGTAGAGCCTTCTATGGCCACCGACGGGTCGACTTCATGATCGCCTGCTCGTCTTAAAGGGGCGGTGCAACAATCTTAACGTTGAAAGGATTTGTAGTTCGTATATTTTATATTGCTTATCTAGGCAAAAGCGAAGAAAAAAAAAACCCTCCCCCGAAAAAATGACATTCCGCTGCGTAATCGCAAAGAAAAAAAGTTGTCGATATCCAGCCGCGTGTGAGGGCTAGGGGAATCATCGTGGCACGTCACTGGGGTACACTCAAAAGTCAACAAAACATGACCACTTCCCCCCTTTGCTCTAACACTCGCCGTCAGCCCAATGCCGAACCATCTTTTGTATCCATCGCTCGCTGTGACCTTCGGCGATGCTAAAGGACTGTTTATACTCCGTAAACTTCGACGAGCGCACGTGCCCGATCGCGTTGGCCGGCGCTGGCTGCGAGCGGGTGTCTATACTCCAGCGCAGTGCGCGACGTAATGTAGCGCAGCGTAGACCACCGCGCGTCGGCGTAGCTCACGACGGAATCAAACCATGCTCTATTCGTGTCGTTGATGAGCGCAAACCGGCGACGGTGGCTTTCCCCGAAGCCCTCGCGCGGGTGCCCCATTCGGGAATCTGGATGTCTCGGTCAGTTGCCAGTCGGAGTCTGTAAGACGCTCGTTTCTCCGACCTGAACCTGCCGCTCTTGCTGTGTGCCGTGTGCTGTTCTCGTTTTCCAGTGTTCCTGTGCATGTTCAACGTTCGTGCGCCCTCTTGGGCGAGTGTGTGCGTGGACTGCTCCGAGAGTGCGCTACCCCCGAGGAGCCGTAGACCCTGGCAAGTTTCTTGGCTCTATCTTTCTACAGAAAAAAAGCTACGCTTTGAAATTTTACAAAAAAAAAACACAAAAACACCGACCTGTAAAATATACCTTTGACGAAAACTTTATATTGCTAGGTGCAAGTGTCGATTTTTACGGTCCATTTTAGGTCGAGCCTGGTGACTTGGGTCACCCTATATATAATATACCGGGTGTTTTACGAAAGGTTGACAAATTCGATATTGCGGAAACTACGCGTCGCAACAAAAAAGGCTTGTGTCATTTTGGCCCTGGACCAGGGGCCTATTCAGGAAAATTATTAAAGTCCGGGATAATTAGGTTTTTAATTATTTTTGCGTAATTAACTTTTTAATATTGTGTTTAGGGTATGGTTTCAATTGGAAAATTGCTCAGCATCATGGAAAATTACTAAATCAACAAATTGCAGAACGATAGAAAGCACGCAAAGCATTTTATGGCTTTCTGATAAACCGCACAAATTAGACGGGTTTTTAAGTTTAGGTTTGCTATCGGAGCGCATCTCGGCCCCGGCGGCACCGCGCCCCGTGGAGAGATAGAAGCCGTAAAATGCTTCGCGTGCCTTCTATCGTTCTGCAATTTGTTGATTTAGTGTTTTCTGATTGAAACTATGCCCTTAAACATAAAATAAAAAGTTCATTAAGCAAAAATATTTAACAATTTAATTATCCCAGACTTTAACCATTTTCCTAAATAGGGCCCTTGGCCCAGGACCAAAACGGCACAAGCCTTTTTTTGTTGCGACGCGTAGTTTTAGCAATATCGACTTTGTCCACCTTTCGTGAAACACCCTGTATATAGAGAATGTTTTTTTTTTAAGCTTAACAGAATTTTTTTTTCATAAACCATGAAATCTAGATTAATGCGGTCTGCGCAGGTGAGTTATATGGCCAGGGGGACATAATATAGGAGTCTAATCGTAACGATCAGTCGTCTAATTAATTAAAATTCGTTAATTAACTTTTTAATTAATCAAAATAGACATATAGTTTCAATTAGAAACTTGCTGGGCGTCATCGAAAACCCCTAAATCAGTCATTTTCCGAAAGAGTTTGAGCGCGTGAGAAGCGTAGTAGTGCACTAAAGTTAGCACTCGTGGAGCACGTACAAAGCTAGCAGTTGCGATAAGCCGCCCGCGCAATTTTTCTGCCTCTTATCTAGCCCCAGCCTTGTACCTGCTCCACGAGCGGTAACTTTAGTGCACTACTATGCTTCTCACGCGTTCAAAGTCTTTCTGAAAATTACTGATTTAGTGGTTTTCGATGACGCTGAGCAAGTTTATAATTGGAACTATATGTCTATTTTCAATAATTAAAAAGTTGATTAACGAATTTTAACTAATTATCCGACTGATCGTTACAACTAGACTCCTATATTATGTGTCCCTGGCCGTATAACTCACCTGCGCAGACCGCATTAACCTAGCTTCCATGGTTTCTTTTTAAAAATTCTGTTAAGCTTAAAGAAAAACACCCTATATATATATATATATATATATATATATATATATATATATATATATATATATATATATATATATATATAGGTGTGTGTGTGTGTGTGCGCGTGTGTGTGTGTGTGCGCGCGCGTGTGCGCGTGTGTGCGTGTGCGTGTGCGTCTGTGTGTGTGTGTGTGTGTGTGTGTGTGTGAGAGAGAGAGAGAGAGAGGCAGAGTAGTTTTGAGAACAATGGACCGGGAAAATGTAATAAATAAGTCAGAGATCCGTACTTGCGGAGTTGCTATGCTAGGAGTTTATTGTATGTATTACGACAGTTTCGCCGAGAGGCTCCCCTGACGAAGCCAAGCCTTTCGGCGAAACTGTCGTAATACATACAATAAACTCCTAGCATAGCAACTCCGCAAGTACGGATCTCTGACTTATAGATATATATATATATATAATCGTGCATCAGGTGATGCACATTTGTGTTGCCAGCTACTCTGGCAAACGCAATTAACCGTGACAAAAAAAAGCAAAAAACATTCTTCACACTGTTTGCAAATATTGCCTCCGTGCATTGAAAGACAGATGAGGCTAACGCTCGTCAATATGTCGTCCGTCGTTATTTCGAGCCGGAAGTAAGTGCGTGACGTGAAACCACCTTATACACGTATTACTTAAAAAGAGAGTGGGAAGATATATGTTTTTACCTGCGCTATGTAGCGTAGCCCCGTGTCACCGATGCTCGTAAAGCTGACGTCGAGTTCGAGCACGCTGGATTGGCCCTGACCGGACGCCATGAACGCCATGCCTTTGCCCGTGATTTTGGTACATCCTTTCAAATTGATGACTTCCAGGCTTGACATCCTGGCGAGGTGCTTGAGACTAATGTTGGTCAGGCCAGTGCAAAGTCGCATGTTGATGAAACGCAGTTTTCGAAGGTTGGCCGCTACTACGCTGATTCCATCTTTAGATACATACTCGCATTCGGAAATGTTCAGGGCTGTCAGATCCCTTAGCTTCTCGGCGACAACGGACAGACCGACGTCTGTAATAGGGCAAGCGTTTACGTTTAGCGTTGTCAGGCTAACCAACCCTTGGCCACGATTTATCATGTGGATTCCAGTGTCTTCAATTTGGTTGCAGTAGCTAATAATTAAACAATTTAAACGAAACCGTGCTGTGGCCAAATGAAACATACTTTGGCTCGTGAGGTCTTCGCACCCCAGAAGGGTTAACTTCTTGAGAGAAGAGATCTTAGCGATGTGCTCCAAACCAGCATCAGTCACGCTGAGACACATGCTTAGATCTAAGCTGACCAGGTGCTTAAGACCGAGGCTAAGGTACTCTAGTCCAAGGTCTGATACAAGTGCACAGTCTTCGAGTCCCAGATACTCTAGAGAGCTGACACCAAAGCGCTGACGGGTCCCGCTGTTGCCACCGATTCCGGCCAGATGCCCCAAAGCCACATTCGAAATTTCGCATTCCTTGATTTCAAGAAACTTAAGGGAAAATAGGTTTGCAGCAATGAGAACCATGCCACCGTCGGTGATTTTCTCGCATCCCGCCAAGTAAAGGTACTCTAAGTTCGGCAGAAGCGCAGTGATGCAGGCTACGCTAACATCTGTAACCTGCGAGCACCAGTTTAGATTCAGGGACACCAGCGATGTTAGTTGCCTCACGAAACTTTCAACGATGCAGCTATCGGTAATGACGTAACACTCGGACAAGTCAAGGGACGTCAGATCGGGCAGTTCTCGGAGAAGCTCCCGCAACCGCCCTTTGAAGCTGACGACCTTAATCCTACCAATACCACGGCGGTTAAGGCTACTGTACAGGGTCGGACTGACGTCGGGCAGGCGAAGTTTGGCCTCCACGCCACTCCAAACGCATCGGTCATCAGCAACGTCTCTCCAGTCGCGGCATACCTGAGCCACTCTGCCGCGGTCGGGAACGTCCAGGTAGCAAAATATGAGACGAAGAACTTCGGGGTACAAGCGCCCGTTGCTGTGACTTGTGTCCATGGCAGATTCGGTGGGCGCGGCGTGGATTGAGGCGGTCGTGGTGGCGGCGGCGGCGGTGTTGACGGCGGCGTCTTGCTCTTCGCGCCGGACCTCAGGCGAGACCTCCTCCGACGGCCGGCCGTCCATGGTACGGCCAGCAGAACGGCAAGCCACAGGGCGCGCGTTCGCCGCCGGTGCCGCATCCTGGTGTGCCCAATCAGAGCCTCCTTATATAGAAAGGGCTGTCTCAATGAATAATCCCAGAAAGCCATATGATAGATGGCGCTTCAGCACCAACGCACAGATTCGGTTTCCGACAACGTTGTTATTCCGGCGTTACACGGGCACCCTTGACCGCAGTTAACTTCCCTTTAACTGCTGTTACGCGTCGCCGCAGCTACCGCACACTATTGGCGACGTGCGCGATCGAGAGCGTCGCTGTGACCGGACTGCCACCATTGGCCGAATGCTGACTATAAGGTCAGGAAAGGATTTATCTTCGACAAAAATAAAAGTAATGTTAGAACTTCAATGTTGACGATGTTGGCAGTGTTGGTTTCAGAGCGCTATGATTTCAAGCTCCCACCAAGCTCTTTACAAACACCATCCAACTTTTTGTTCGCTAGGTAATGACGTCACGAGAAGGAACCACAGGAGGGCGCCACACAAATATCTTGTCACTAATACTCTCGGATAGCTATTTCAGAAGTGAAGAGTGCTTGTGCGCTGCTTTTATGGGTGCTTAAAATATTCAACCGCACGTGCGCCCAGAGCTTTGACTGACTGCATAGCCGCAGAATGTTGCCCGTAAGTATTGTGTGATAACTGTGGCTTAGCGTAACTGCAGTTAAGTGTGCCCGTGTAACAAAAGTATTAAATATATTAGTTGAGAAGCTCTGCGAAAGAGCGTTGTTCGAAAACGGTCCTTCTGCGTTGCCAGCACGCGAGCAGGTGTAGGCGATTAAGGCGGATAACGATCCTAGCGCCACCAGCCGCACGGCCTCAACGGGCAACGGAGAAGGACTGTTACCAAGCGGCGCTCTTTTTGTGCCAGCTCTTTGCGCAAATTTGTTTGATATATAAAAACCGATGTAGAATGTTTTTACGCGGTAAACATGCATCCAACACTCAACCGGTTCGCCACTTGTGTCCATGGGGCGGCTGATATAGGGTGCCTACATGTCTGTCTGTCTGAGGGTGAAGACATCCATTGTTGCCCTGAGTGTGAAAGCGCGTGACGCTCTCGCACACTCGGTGCGTGACTTGGACGGTAAAATGGCGTCTATGCATTAGCCAAAGCTACGCGCTCGAGCTGAGTGACACCAGATTGCGCGCACTTCAAAATGCATAAAAAAACGAATGGGCGGGAAAATGGCTGATATGTCACCACTCAAGCAAAAACCCGCGTGTGTATGAAGGCACTCTAGGCTGATAGCATAGCGAGCGCCACAGAGCGGACGCACCACGAAAAGATGCCAGGCGTTCTAGAAAATTTGTCAACTGACTTTGATCTAGTAACGTTGGTTCCCGCAGCACTCCTTCTTTACAGCTAGGCTTGCTCAATGTAAATTTCAGTTTGATTATACTATTACGTTTCTACCTGCTCGTCATGAATGGATAAAACGAAGTAATTAATCTATCAACGTGGCGATGCAGGCGAGTTGGTTCATGATTACAACTGGTAGCAGCGTTCAAAAACGCCGTGCGCTCGAATGGCCAGTCGCTGCGCTCAACAACGGGAGGACATCTACTTTTACACTGTGGCACTTGGATGAGTCAGCCGAATTTTGAAAACATTACGATTGTGGGGAACGGGGGTGACAAGGCTGCAAAAGAACTGCTGTGTTATGTTGTTAGTTAAGCGCAGGAGAATGGTTTAAGCAAACTGTTTAATAAGTAACGTACGGGATCAAAGCCGCAGCTATGGCGATTGCTCGTCAGTTCCAAACGCATCAGCGCGTGCCACCTTCTGCGAGCGTGCTCACTGGATGTCCTCTTCTTCTAAGATCAGAAAGCCTCGTTGACATCATAACATGCCCCCCTTCTTCTTTTTTTGAAGATAACGCAGGGCGATCGCGGCACTTCTCAGTCTCTGTATCGTAGCGGGGAGGACGACGAAGTGTTCGGATTGCGAGCAGTACTTTTTCGTAGGTCAGCAATATTTTGTATTATTTTATCCAGAACGCTCTTATTTTTTACTCAATTGCATCTGAAAGTTGCAACTGAGGACATCGGTTCTCCCGGCACGGGAGAACCAAGTATCCAGCAATGATGACATCCCAAGAACAAAAGACGTTAGATGCGACCATCCCAACCTTGACCAATGCTTCCCTGGCGCATGCCGAGGAGGCAGCCTCCTTGTCCGGTCTAAAGTGCCCCCCAGAAGAAATTCAGGCCGACGTCAACATGATAGAGCGTGATGAGGATCTCACCGAAGTGATGGACCCAACGAACGCACTACCGCTCTCATCGCACTACTACGCAGAATCTACCTCGGACGCCTCGGAGATCACGTTCGATATGCGGGACTTCCAAACTGTGCACTCTAGCAAACGGAGGAAAAGAACGCTCAACCTTGCGCCTAAGATAATGGCACACACCGCCACGTTCCCTTCGGCTCTGGGCAATGTAGTGGTCTTCACTCCGAAAGACCCCACAAAGCAAGTCACAAGCTTTAATAGCATTCGCCTGACCGCGGAGTTAGAAAACATCGCTCCGTCCAGTATCCTGCAAATCAGGCCAAATAAGGCACTAAACGTCATTGCTATTGACACCCGGAACTTACAAACTACAGCGCAGCTGTTGAAGCGTGAAACTTTGCTAGGTGTACCGATGTACGCTTATGAACCAAGGTCCAAAACTCACGCCGTGGGTGTCATAAAGGACGTAGCGAAGGACATCACTGAGGAAGAACTCAAGGCACAGCTTAAGAGTACAATTAAGCTTGCTCAACTGAGGCGCTTGGGTGATTCCCAAACAGTACGCCTCACTTTTCTCGGAAGTGAGCTGCCAAGTCATGTCGCTGTAGGCTGCGTCCGGCATCCAGTCACCGCATACTCACCACGTCCAGTGCAATGCCACTCGTGCGGGAAACTTGGCCATCTAACCCCAACCTGTGCGCGTCAAAAGATATGCCTTCGCTGCTCCAACGCCCATGACACCGAGGAATGCCCGCCAAACGCCAAATCCAAATGTGTGAATTGCGGAGGAAAACATCACGCGGCATCGCCACATTGCCCGAAATTCAAACTCATGAGAAAGATCAACGACTACCGACAGCAAAATGGAGTGAACCACGCTACCGAAAAAACAGCTGTCACCACGCTTAACAAAACAAAGGAAGACTCCCAGCTGAGGCCACAACAGTTGCCGCAAGCTTCGCAACACCAATCAACCTGGCCAAGCGTTGTGGAAGCGAATGCTGTCCCTGAAAAGACAGACGGCACGCCGAGTATCCCCACGATTTCAGGTAATCCCGCGGCTGCGGAGGCAGGAATTGTTCAACCACTTTCTTTGAGAAATCAAAGAGAAACAGTCGCCAAACAAGCCCCTTACCGTGAGGCGTCATCAGAAAGATCTTCTAGTCAGAAGAAACAGAGAATTCCTCCAGCGACTGCACCTCCACTTCACTCTTTCTCAAGCTGGCAAAGCCTCGTCATGCCCCTCCTGCAAGCGATTCGAAGCTGGGTGGCGGGCATCAACAACCCACTTGCCTCGTCAGTATTGAAAATCATCGATCTAGCCATGCCCCTTGTGACTGCGTTTCTTGGATGAAAAACTCTGCACGATACGTACAACCTCACAGATCGTCGCCAAAGCTCAGACACATTCCGCTAGTCATGCAATGGAACTGTGCAGGTCTCCGAAACCGTCTTGCAGAACTGTTGCTTTACTTATTGACTGTACCCATACCTATTCTCGCATTATGTGAAGCTGGCCTCCCTAATGATCAGAGCATCTCCGGCTACGTGACGTACTCAAACCCCACTATGAGCGGATTTACTAACGGGAGTGCTGCACTATTCATCAAAAAGTCTCTCCCTCAACACTCTATCGATGTCACTGATTTGTGTAGTGACCATCTAGAAATCGTCGCAGTGCAAGTCAGCGTATTTGGTAAGCCTTTATGTGTGGGGTCCGTATACGCACGCCCGGGAAAAAGCGGCCTTCCTGTTGCCCGTGTAGTGGCGGAGCTTAAAAAACGGTGCCCAAGCTCCTTACTTTTATGTGGGGACTGGAATGCCCACCACGAACTGTGGGGCTGCGCTAAACGAGACGCACGGGGCCTAGCTCTGGCTACAGCTCTAGAGAAGCACGATCTCGTCGTGGCAAATGATGGCCGTCCTACATTCTACCGCCCTCCTTGCACCTATAGCGCCATCGATATAACCGCCCATTGTACAGACCTCGAAGTCACGTGGCAAGTATTAGCCGACACAATGGGAAGCGATCATTTTCCTATTTTCCTGGATCTAAAAGGCTACCAACCGTCCAAGCAGCGCACAATTGATATGATCATCTGGGATACTTTCCGCAGTCACCTTTTATTGGTAAAGGAAGACGTATGTGCGGCTATTGTAGACGCTGCAAAAGCATCAACAGTGCAAATACGCCTACCAGTACATTACCCCAAACCGGACCTGATTTTTCTGAATCTTTGCGCACGCAGGAGACAGGCCCAACGAAAGCTGCAGCCTTCTGGAAATCCGCTACTAAAATCGCATTTCAACAAGTTAAACGCCGCAACTAGGCGCTATGCGAAGAAGCTACGCAGACAACAATGGCACGATGTGTGTGCTAAATCCGATGCCCACACACCAGCTTCCCGGATTTGGCATATTCTCGATTGCTTTATGGGAGCAAGAAAGAAACTGTCGCCCCAAGCCTCTCTCGCACTTCAACGAGGAAAAGACCTCCAGGTTATAGCGGACGAATTCGCTAACTATTACGCCTCGGTCCGGAGCCAATCGCAAGAACCGTGCGTCATAGTTTCGACTTCGTCCCCTCTTGATGTACCATTCACCCTTGATGAACTCCAGGCGTTGCTCCGTTCCACCAAAAAGCGCACTGCCTCCGGACCAGACGGCATTACCCATCAAATTCTCTGCAACCTGCCAGATGAAGGTCTGCAACTGCTTCTGTCCGAG